CGGCAGTATGACGTCACGGAGTAGTGATTTAAACAAAAATCAAGACTTTTCAGAGAATTATTATCTTTACAAATTGCAGATATGAAATTAAAGAATGAAATATTTTCATATTGTAAATGTCTGTGATGAGTGATGAGTCAGCTTAGAAAAAATCAAGGTACTATTTTTTGACCTGATTACCGCGGCAGTATGACGTCACGGAGTAGTGATTTAAACAAAAATCAAGAATTTTTCAGAGAATTATTATCTTTACAAATTGCAGATTATGAAATTAAAGAATGAAATAATTTCATATTGTAAATGGTCTGTGATGAGTGATGTCACTAGAAAGCAAATCACGGTCACATTTTTGAACCCTGATTACCTCATCGCATAAGGAGTTGACAGACTATAACATGGGCGTCATAGCCTCCCAAAACTCCACCTCCATCCCCACCCTTATCACTGTGTATGCAGAAAATATTAAACAATACACTCACGCAATGTTCAGTAAAAAACAAAGATTTCATACAAATAGCAAAATGACCGCTCCGCGCAAGCTATGACCTCAGTAAGGAATGAGGCCAAAGTACAATGAATAATATAGCACACCACCATCATAATCCTCCCCTGTGAAATAAAAATTGACGGTAAACTACTAGGCTGAATACTACATACAATTGACATAACACGAATGAGTTAAATCTAATATAAAGACAGTCGTATCGAAGTATTTCTGAAACAGACATATCTAAATTAGCATATGAATGAAACTCTAAACTGAAAGAATGATCCTAAATTACCCCGCCAGACCTTGTATCAAGACATACAATCAAATATCAAATCGATATTTGTGTGTTCAAAAACAAGCCACAAAACTCCCAATAATCCTATTCATATATAAAATTGCGGTTGAGATGATTGACCACAAATAATATTCCAAGCACTACAATGACACTATTGTTGTAGCACATAGCATAATGATAATGTTGGATAGCTCAAAGAACATTACCTCTCTGTCTCAACACCATAGGGCCGCAGTAATTGAAACTCCTCCTAGTAAAATATAACTAAATAAGCACATTATAACGGAATTAGTTACAACTAACTGTAGGGTTTTACTGAGTACTGGAGACACTAGAAACGTATGTCTGTTACAGAAGGCAGCTCACACACACACACACACGAAACATCTGAAGTTATTTACTGGTCAGTCACCACTCACCAATAGACCAATAGACTTAAACAACAACCACACAAGTTAACTTCTCTAAGACAAGCTAACCACACAACACACGGCTTGCTGTTAACAGTACAAATTGTAACACAGGCAAACATCACAACACACCCATGAGTGACAAATGTCAAACAATTCTTCATCAGAAGCCACAAACTTAACCACAGAGAGAGGCACAATTAATATGCGATCACATAATAACAACACCACATGAAAGGATGTCTTGTATATATCTAGTTTAGAAATGTATCAATAAAGCACACGATAGTTGTTTGAACGGTAATGTCACATTTACACAGTAGTAATATTGGACGTTCCAGTTACTCGGAAGGAACCTGCAGGTGCCTTCAGGCAAAATCTTGCACTGAAGCAGAACCACCGATGTCCTTTAGCTAGCATTGATATCGTTCCATACATAAAATTCAAAACCCTGCGGATCAAACCACAGCAAATGAGGGCAAGTGTTTAAAGTCAGCGACCTAACCCTCTGCCAAATGAAGGCCAAGCACTACAAGGTATAAAGGCCTTATGTCAACCATCCTTGGCCATGTTGACGATACAATACTGTTAGAGAAGTTCATTTGATATAATGAATTGAGAATATTATATCATAATATCATCGCAAAGTCAAACAAAAGTCATTTTAACAACTTCTACTTCCCACATGAATACACCAAATAGATAATGTGGAACTACATCCAATATATTTTCCAAGCCAATACTGTAGGCCTTGGAATTTATTTTGTAGAATCACAGACCATCAATTAACAAGACAAATGACATTTTTTATCAAGAAAAAAATTGACAAAATAAGCAAAACCACAATGACGAGGGACAAGTGAGCACATTTGTTTTCATTCTCTGTTAATGGTAAATTGCACATAAACAAACCAAAGACTTTGTATGAAACATTGCCAGGACCATTGTTTTATTAAACCCAGCTATGAGTAAACTGCTTCGGAATCTTTAATAAGACTTCTTAAAATTCAATTCAGGTGAAAAATTTCACTTAACTTTCGTTGCCACAGTTGACTTCTAAACTGAAAAACTTCTTGTGTAAGGGTCATATTTACGGAAAACAAGTCCTAGTTTTTAAAGCAACTTTTCTGGATGAAGTGAATAACAAAATCTGTTTCTATAACTACTTGAGGCCATGCAGAGATGATTCATCAATTAAATGATATGACAATGCGTGACAAAATGTTAAAGCATTGAGCAAATATTGCACTATTTTCCTAGAATAAAAGTTAGTGCTCTTTCGATGCCTATAATGTATGGCACTGTGTTCTACTATATGATAATACCCCTCAAACAAGAATGCACGACAATATAGTCTCCATTCCCAATTAAAGCAGTCCCAAAGTTTAAAACCAATGAATTATTAACCACTAGACACATAACAACTATCCATGGTCAATGTCAAACAGTGAACTTAAAATAAAACAATTAGAAACAAGAATTTCAAACATGTAACTAGCACTCAACCAAATACAAAACATGGGTTTAGAAAACTGGTATGCAACAATTTCACAGGGAAACCTAGAATTCCTTACACTGTAAAAATCCCTAAACACAGGTCAATGGCAAAAAACATTACTCCATCCACGAACAGATTGTATCATGGCCATCCATGTCTACCACTATGTATCATCAGATCTACAACCATCTTTAAGTCCACAATATTGTGTAAATGGGTAAGACAGAAGAAATGTTAGAAATAGAAATGAGATCTACTTCTAGCTTGTCTCACAGCAGTTTTTCACTCACATCAAAAGACATTTATGTCAAGCATCTGTCCAGGATGGACACTGGATTATATAGTAATATCATAAAATATTTTTAAGAAAAAATTTACATTACAATCTCAAAAATTTCTTCAAAGCACATAGACTATAATTTATTAGTACTTAATAAGATTATTGATTTAGATAATACAAAATATAATATAAATGTTGGAATTAGAAGCACTGTAATTTATACTACATATGAAACAATAATAAGTAATTTCCTGTCTAGGATTATATTGCGTATGTTATTTTAACTGATGATAGTATAAAGCCACTGATTAATTTATATTAATCAATAATGATAAATATCCTATGGTTGCATAAATCAATAATATTGCAAATCAAATCCTAGAATTATATTAATCAATAATGATAAACACCCTATTGTTGCATTGATCAGAAATAGTGCAAATCCTATAATTATATTAATCAATAATTGATAAACATCTTTAAATATGGTTAGAGTAATAAACAAAAAAATCCTTAGGTAACATATATTATTCAAACTAATCAATAATACATGTTGAGGTCAGTATTAGCTAATAAATGTTTGATGAATCAATAGAAATCTGGGAAATCTTTCTAAAACCTACATAAATCAGTAAAGCACAAGATATGGGAAAGAAACCTGAATATGTTATAAAACTGCAAGCAAAGTTAGAAAACAAGTAACTGTACATTAATACAATAAATAATAATCACACATATTGAACAAAGTTACAGCCATATCAGATAATAGCCTTTTTTACTTTAATTAAGACTTCTGGAATTGCCCCTTGAAAAACTTGTTGAATCTAAATAATCTAACAAGTATGTGCCTCTAAAATTTAAACTGAAATATTTTCTTAACATTATTAGAAGTACACACACACATTATAAGACACACATTTCACTTAATCTTTAAAGTCAAAACATAACCCTCCAAACCAGGTGCTATGAACAAGAAAACAACAATTTGCTTCTAAAAACTCACTTCAAAACACACAAAACTAGAAATGTGTCCATAGGACACTGATGCCCCCACACGCCACTGTTCTGTCAATCTTATGACTCTAGGTCAAATATTTTTTGGACTACATGTGCCACAAGTTGAAAACTAAAAATCAACAAACGGCCATAATTCTGTTAAATTTGGTCGCAGCAAAATATCCTTCCTTTACTACGATCTACACATTAAGGTTGTTAATCCCTGGAAGTTTAAGCAAAATCTGCCATCCGGTTTAAGAGGAGTTGCGTTCACAAAATTTCTACATAGTATAAAGTGAAAAAATCAACAAAGGGCCATAATTCTGTAAAATTTGGTCGCAGCGAAAATTCCTTCCTTTACTACCATCTACACCTTAAGGTTGTTCATCCCTGTAAGTTTAAGCAAAATCTGCCATCCGGTTTAAGAGGAGTTGCGTTCACAAAATTTCTACATAGTATATAGTGAAAAAATCAACAAAGGGCCATAATTCTGTAAAATTTGGTCGCAGCGAAAATTCCTTTCTTAAATGCCATCTACACATTAAGGTTGTTCATCCCTGTAAGTTTAAGCAAAATCTGCCATCCGGTTTAAGAGGAGTTGCGTTCACAAAATTTCTACATAGTATCTAGTGAAAAAATCAACAAAGGGCCATAATTCTGTAAAATTTGGTCGCAGCGAAAATTCCTTCCTTTACTACCATCTACACATTAAGGTTGTTCATCCCTGTAAGTTTAAGCAAAATCTGCCATCCGGTTTAAGAGGAGTTGCGTTCACAAAATTTCTACATAGTATCTAGTGAAAAAATCAACAAAGGGCCATAATTCTGTTAAATTTGGTCGCAGCAAAAATTCCTTCCTTTACTACCATCTACACATTAAGGTTGTTCATCCCTGTAAGTTTAAGCAAAATCTGCCATCCGGTTTAAGAGGAGTTGCGTTCACAAGATTTCGGGACGTACGGACGGACTGACTGACGGACGGACGGACGGACAAGTGCAACGCTATATGCTCCCACATTGTGGGGGCATAAAAATCATGTCCATGACAAATCAAATAAAGGTCAACCATTTGAAAAATTAGTGACAATATCAGCCTGATGCAAAAAGTGCAAAGCCAGGCCAGTCTGCACAACCTGGTTACAAGACAGTCTGACATGGCTCTAATTATTGCAAGGTTCGGGCACAAACAATTGTTTGGCTTTAACTGTCTGATGCACAATGCAGGTCCAGTTTTGATGATTGACTAAAACTTTTGAAAGTTCAGATTTTTTGCACTGTCTAGTCAAACTGATGTGACCATAGTTAGTTCCCAAATCTTTCCTATACTGTCCTCTGCTTAAAGATATTATTGTTTGTATACTAAAGTGCATTGAAGTACTGTAGGGACAAAACAAAAATTTTAATTTGTTAAAGTTTCAATGAAATTTGTTTTTTTATGATGTTAGTCATGGGTTAATTAAAATGACTCCTGCAACCAGCAATGCTGAAAATTCCAACAAAACACTGTAAAAAGCTCTTGTTAATTTCATGAATCCCTGATGTTAAAATGTACAGTTACTTTAACCTATACACCTGTAGTGTAGAATAATGTATAATTATAGGCAATATCATAAATGTCCCAAAGCTAGAAATACAGAGATTTTAAAGATAAATATATTCTATGTCAAATTTTTATTTGACAATGATTCAGTCTTTTTAAAAAATATTTCAAAATAGGAACACAGAGGTTTTGGTAAACAAGCATTTCTCCATTTCTAGCTTGAACACTGAATGTTTATATTTTTTTCTATAAACATTGGAAGCATATAGAATATAATATTACTGTATGAGGGATAAAATAAGAGACAGTTAATGATGCTATAGCCCCTATAATCAATCACAAACCTGCGCCGGAATCCGACGTTCGTCTCCCTGATTGTGATTGTTGCCCGTACTGACCTACATTTCATGAATAACGATCCAACATGCAGTGTTAACAATCTTATACATATAATGTATATTCTCTAATAAACAGCCCCTCCCCTTTTTTTTAAGAAAAAGAAAAAGAGAACTGGGTTTATATCATGATGATAGAATTTTTATATAAATCCAAGAAAATTAGCTGAAATTTTAACTTTAAGTACAAATAATCTGCAGGAAAATAGCTCAAAAAAATTATAAAACATTTTTTTTTATTTTGATGATAAATATTTCTTCTTTTTTTTCGGTACTACATAATAAACACTCCCCTTTTGGAAAATTTAACACCCCTGGGGATATTATATATAGAGAATATACCGTATAAACATTTAACTCTCCAGTCATTAGAACACAAAGAGGAAACACAACATAGAAACAATGTTAACAACAACAGAGACTTTTATTGATATTCCAATTAAATATAAAAATCTTCATTGTCCACAACTATCCTTATAAGTTAAGATAGAGTTCAGACCTTAACTGCAAGTTCAGGTACTTAAGCAAAATCAACCAATAAATTTGGTGAAAATTATGCTATATCGCAAGTCAAAAAATCAATTTTTACTAATTTGTAAAAAGGTTTTACATTTGAATACAATAAGAAAATAGATTGTTTTTGAAATGTAAGGTGCTACAAATTAAGAAAATCTCCTTTTAATCTAAAGCTTCTTTAGTGTAAAATCACTCCATAACAGAAAACAGTACTTAAATAATGTGACCTTATTAATTTAAACAGTAAAACTGTATTTTGTGATAATTTGTGATATCATTTAATTGTAACAGAAAATACAGCAATGAAGTATTAACTATATGTCAATGGTAACCTTGGTCCAGGGATTTTAATGAAACAAAAAAATAAACAAAACTTAAAACAAAAATTAAGCTGGTACATACATCTAGCTTTTAAAATATATTACCATTTGCTTTAAATTAAAACAATACCAACACAAAATATGGGTCACCAGCATCCCATAAAGGTATTTACACAACCAATGAACCTCTCTGTTTAGGGAAATATTTTCAAACCAAAAAAATAATTTACCTTCAACTTGCTCAGCTGGCCTTGCCATCTCCATCTGGTTCCTTCTTTCTCTATCACCATGGTAACTGACGTTGCTAATCACGTCCATGTTGTGACGTACACGCTGGGTTTCTGGATCATCCGCCACAGTGATTTTCTTACCCTTCTGTTTCTCATATTCTGCATGGTATTTGATCTAAATGAAAATATTACAAGATTTTTTTACAATTTTACTTTGATTCAATAGGTTTTTGCATCGAAATCTACACTAATAGTAGGAACTTTCTTGTTCAACCCCTTAAACCTGTTAAATTGTTTAATGGATTTGCATTGCTTTAAATTTGGAACAATCCATTCAATATTCAAGTGATTACAAAAATTCAGCTACCAGTCTACATGGATATTCAGACTGGTTTGGCTCTATACTGGTGACAAAGACTAATTATTTTCAATTCCATCAGAATATAGGTAAGTTGAAAGAATCAGTCTCATGAAAGAAACACAAAGACAGATTCAAATCTACAGCAGTGAGCAGGTACACATACAAATGTACTTAATTCTCATTACAAGTATAATAAAATTAATGAGGGGAATAAAGTTGTCATAATACTTGCCAAGATCTTAATTATTTTATGTTTATAATTTATAACATTTTTCATAACAAACCACTTTACTGAGCTTACTACCAACAAATGTGCAAAAAGGGGGCAAGAAGCATCAATATCTTTTTTAGTAAATTTTTACATGACTATAAGCTAGACAAAAAAGAACAAAAACATTGTCATATAACTCTAGAGTGTTTTATTTGTATATAAACACTTGACATGTTAAGCTAACTTGCACAAACAATAAATATTTAGTATACTTTCAGTGACAGTAGCTTTATAGCTATGTAACGTCCTTGTTTAATCATGTGGGCTGTTTTTTTTTTTATCTTGAACATCAGCTGATCATTATCACATAAGAACTCTTGTTTTTTTTGTTTTTGTTTTTTAGCTTGGTAGTGTTAACCTTAACTTACATTGTATTTAGTTAGCTAGCTGGTGGCTACAGTATCTACCCAGACAAACCAGTACCAACCAAGATTGTTTGTTTTCTGGTTTTAACAACAATTTTAACATATTTTTGGGCCATATCTCAGCAGCTGACACAACAGACTTTCCTGGATAACTAACCAGTAATGACCAACTTTAAGTAAGTTCCGTTACTGGTACATCTTTCTGCAGTGAAACAACTTCACACAGAACAAGAGATGTTTGCTTTGCACCTTAAAGGATTAAACTGGTAACAAAGAAAAAGTGTGACCATAAATAATGTTGCGTTTAAGTTTTCTTAATTTATGTCTCAAAGGAACGTGGATAGGATAAAACTAGTATATATCTTATTATAAAATTTTATAGCTAGTGTTTATAGTGAAAACAAGACATATTGGTAAAACTTTTCATGCCCTGTAGTAAATAACATACAACAAAATTCATGAAGGGACAAATCATTCTGAAATAGGTTAGTAAAGGTATTTTAAAACCATTATCATTTAGAGAAAAGGCATCATCCTGAAAGGTTGGTGAGGAACTAATTCAAAATATATTTGGACTAATTTTCGTAATGAGAAATTTGGTATTCTGAACTATTCTCAGTGACAGGAGCAGGGCAACCTTTTTCATTAGAAGGCAAAAAAAAGAAAGCTATCTATTTCAAAAAAGCTTGGTTTTTTAGCCATATTCATTTAAAGCATACAAAAAGTTTATCAATTGGTTCAATGGCAGCAGAATGTGTGCAGCAAAACTGACATGTATAACATAAAAGGAAAATATCAAACAAATTTAAACTCTGCTTTGCTGTCAGATTGTGGAACATGGGGAACAAAAGGTGTGGAACCACACGCACTATAACAAACTGGCGGCAGTTAGAAGTATTAGGATATGGCAAATCAACACTTTTACCATACTAATATTTTGCGTGTTTCGGAGGTTGGTTTTCATCTCCGGGGTATCGGTGACCTGGTAATATCGAGATTTGCTCTCCTCAAACTCCCTGCGGTACTCTATCTGTCAAATTCATCAACCTTCCAGTCAATTTACTTACACCAACTTTATACTACCCTCTTTAAACAAACATAATTATTAACAAACAAGCATTGAATACAATTTTTTACTTTGCGTTCACCATTTCTTGTGTGGTCAAGTACTCAATAACACTATGGATAATTCACTGACGTCACTATTACAGGTCCTATCATTGCTTTTATATCACCCTTTCAGAGATCTGCCAAGAATTTGAAAGTACTGGGCCCTGGGCCCACTTGGTCTGAAAATGATGGGCCATTTTTACCAAAGTATGGGCCTTGGGAAAATAAGTTAACATTGACCAAAATAACTGTTAAAAAGTTTGTAGATAATTGAATTGCCCCGGTAATAAAACTTAAATCATATTTTATGACAAGTGGTTCACTTATGATTCAGTACTTTACCAATAATTAAAAATCATGCATACATGGTAACTTTCTAACTAATATTAATTGCAGGCAAAAATGAAAATATTTTTTAAATGGCTGCCAAAAATTTGATATGCAAATTTATTCACATAATTGCTGGTTCTTACTTGTAATGTCTTATATTGTGCATTATCCATTTAATTGTTCCTACTTTGCACCAAATGTCCCTTACCACTGTATATTGACGAATTTTATTGCCCCTTGTATGCCTCTGTGTAGACAGCATACATCAAAGACATTTGCCGACAGACCTTTTGATCATGAAAAAAGTCATGCACAATGTTTCTCTGATTGGTTAATAATCACCCTGTCAAACATTCTGATGACGAAATATACATCTTTTTTTACACTTCATCAGGCAAAACTTGCGTGAACTTGAGTGACCTTAGGGTTGATCAAGTTGAACACCTGTCAGATTATACTGTAACTTACAGCATTTCTTAAAATAGCAACACTTTTTTCCAGTTACCGATAATCATTTTAAATATTAAGTAGTTGTATAATTTGTTTGTTTGTTTTATTGGATTAAATTTACGGTAGTAGAAATAAGTACTCTGTGTGGGAATGGGATTATGAGAAGAAATGCGGTAAGTAGATAACATGGACAAAAGCTATAGGGGAATGGATAAACTCAAGAATATGCTAATTACAGGAGCATGGGTAACATGTTGCTGTTGGTACCAGTTTTGACTGGATGACTAAATAACCCAGCAGACAGTTTTGTTTTCTTATAAGTCTGGCACAGATTTTAGATGCGCCCATGGCCCTTTGCTGCCGATTTTCCTGCGCCATTCTCATTTTTTTAGCGCCAATGGCGCAAAATCGCGTCCTCGGCAGATCTCTGCCCTTTGAACTTAACCAGCTGAATTTCTTAAATGGACCCCAGGGTTGATGTTAATGAGAAGCTGGAGACTAAAATGACAGTCTTCAATACATTTTGGCCCACCTCAAAACAGGTTTGTATCATTCCAATGGTAAGAATATTCTATTCATTGACTATAACAACTCTAACCACAGACAATACTACTTGACAAAGTAGCTCATTCGTAAATCCTTAAGCTTCCAAAAGTGCAGGAAAGCATACTCAAACACACTTGACAGAATTTTAAAAACATCTATTGGCTAAAGTCAAATTATTTCCTTATAAATAGCTCAACCTTTATATACAGGACTGAAAGAAAGAAATGCATGAAGGAATAATGAAGGCATTATTTGGCAATATTGGTCAACTTGTGAGCACCATCACATTTCTTAGCTCTTAAACAGATTTTCTGGTATCATTACTCAATCAAAACTTCAAGTAAGATGGGAAATATAATTAGATTTTAAACTCTGTAGTGAAGAGTGAAGAGAAAATTGACGTAATATTGTTTTTAATTAGGATCTTTACATTTCATATTTTTACAATTAAGAACCAGTTTTGGCAGACAGACAGACTGACTGATGGACAGAGAGTAAACATAAAGTCTCCTCCAGTTAAACCATTGGGGGACTAAAAACCAACAATTTAGATGACTGCATGGACATCCATGTTGGATTGGATGTAAATACACTGGGTTCAACTCTGGCAACAAGTTCACAAATGATCCAAGCTTTGATAAACAATCTTGTTGAGTGACATAATTCAAAATTTCCCTTCAAAAAGTCTACCATACAATATCAATAATGATTTCATGATGTGACTATAAATTATAAATGCCACAACAATAATAACTTCATATATTCACAACAGTATACTGAAATTAGAGCATTGCTCTGCAAAATCTAATCAACAAAATGCATTATGGTCATTTCCAATTTTCTGTTTGCATTAGCTATAAATAAACAGTGATGTACTCAACAGACACATGGCCACATGACATTATGCAATCAATGATTTTGACAAACATGCCAAACACCACTGCTATTCCCGGGATAGTCATAATAAATTAATAGTTATTAAGTGGGGAAAAATGTATTTTTTATATTTATCTTGTTTCCAAACAGACACTGATAACTTTTATTACAAAACAATTGTGCTTCAATAAAATATAAAGGGAAAATGCAAGTGTTTTTTTGTGTGTGTCTTTTGTTGTTGTTGTTTAAAGAAAACACCGTGTCAGAGTAGCCTTTTTTAGATTTTCCTTTCATTAGATTTTTTAGTTTTAATGAACCTCTAAGTCACATCGCTATTTTCCGGGTTTACTTGTATAATAAGATCCCTGATGCACTAGAGTAGAACCACTGGCCTTGTATTGTAATCTATCTAAGGCAGCTTCCTCACATTCACTCTTGTGGGATTCAAACAATCAGCGGTTGATAATACTTAACAAACCAAGCCACAAAAACTTCCTCTAGTTATAAAGAATAAACCCAAAAACAACATGTGCATTTAAGCAGTGTCTATTCTAGGATTCCAAAAACAGGGGGGATTTTTAACAAAATAAAAATTTATTAAATTTGTTGATCTTTTTCCTTCTTTCTCTATGTAAAATTTTCCTCAGGCCTCTAAAAAAATAGGGGGGAATTCTCAAAAATGGGAGTGATTCCCCCCCCCCCCCCCCCATCCTAGAATAGACACTGATTAAAGAATGCCTAAAGCTGACTTACAATAAATCAATAATCAATTTTCAGTAACTTTTCAACTATTTTTACATCATCAATAAATCAAAACTTTGCTTATTCTTGAATATTAAAACTAATTCAACTTAAATTTTCCTTATTTCTCTACCAACATTTTTTCTTGAAAACATATTAATCAAAGAGGGTTTGTTTTAAAAAAATAATATTTTCGTAATATTTATGTTAAGAACATAAATCCACTTCTCACCATCTGTTTTAATGCATAGCACTTGAATAAATGCAAGTAGAACTTCTAGTTTAACACCTATAAGATGGATGAAAACTTCATTTGCCACCACTTAACATACAGAGTAAGTTCTGGCTGATGAGTAGTTTATAATAAAATTGAAGGATTATGATGGTTCTACCAAATATTCTAATGTAGGAAGGTTTTTTTCATTGATAGTTATTAAATACTAATATTGTTGCAAGCACTCAGTTACCTCTAACAACTCGAGAGCAAAACTGGCCCTTACATTTGCTCCCAGTATAATGTTCAGCCAATCAGCACTTTCAAGCAGTCTGCTTGACCAACCTCAAAATGACTATCATATCCTTAAAATGGTCAGATTCAAACTGGACAAGCCTATTCATCACAATAATTTCTCACTTTATTGGAACAAGGCCTTATCCTCTTGATTCCGGGAAGAATCATCATAAAAATTGCTGTATAGTGAAGTAAAAAAGCATGTAACTTTAAATTTTTTTGGAAAATCGCATGATTTTAAAGAAAATTCCTATTGGGAAGAGGCCCTTTATATGAGCCGCGACATGACAAAACCAACACAATGGGTTTGCGACCAGCATGGATCCGCGCAGGCTGATCAGGATCAATGCTGTTCGCTTACAAACCCTACTACAAGTAGAGAAACTGATAGCGAACAGCATGGATCCTGATCAGACTGCACGGATGTGCAGGCTGGTGTGGATCCATGCTGGTCCCAAACCCATTATGTTGGTTTTGTCGTGATGCGGCTCATATAATAGGCCTCTGTTATATAAGGTGTGTTATATAAGGTGTAAAATCACTGTCTGATACTTACATTACTTTGTATTTTTGTATTTTCTGCTATTCTTCTGGACTCGGGTGTGTCAGCTACAGCTGTGTGTTTTGTCTGTGGATAATGTCTGTAATCAGAAATAAATACACCACTCAAGTTAGGACTAAGAGAGCATTCTTAATTCTGCTACATGTGTTATCAAATATTACAAGTACCTCTTACCATAGAGGGCAAACCTTTGATGATAGACAGTGGGTTCAAACCCCATCAATAGCAAGCCATTTTTACCTTGAGTAGGAATTTTTACACTCATTGCTTATGCTAAGTACTTGTTGGTTCCAGCATATAGCTTCCTACACAATTGAATTAATAAATAAACAAATTAAAATTGGGCAAAGGGATAAGGAAAATTGGCATTTTGTCTTATTGCAAGTTTTACTAAAAAATTCACAATTTTCTGAGTTGATTTATTCATTAAGTACTTCAGTTAGTACTTTGAAATGCTATTATTATAAAATCTAATTTTCATCCCAGATTTGCTTCCGTATTCATATCCAAAAGAAGCTTATGATGAGACTTCATTGACATAATCATGTCATACCAACCATTATCAATCATGTGAACATAGGAACACATGTTGTGCTCCAAATCCAAAAGTCTAAAATCAGTCTTACTTACAGCAAAATCACCCTTGCTGATATGTAATGTTTACTTACGTACTGGAAAAAGACCCTTGCTAACATGTAATGTATACTTACGCATTGCAATATGGCAGTTTGTCATAGCCCTTGTAGTTTTTCATATTTAGTGTCATATTGCACACCTGACATTTGAAACATCCTTTGTGCCATGACTGAAAGTATACAAAAAACAATTTGATTAAAGGTACAATAAAGGTTAATTCATTGAAAAGTCAGCAGTATATATTTATGTTTAAAATGAGAAATTATAGAAAGAACAGGATCAAAAGTTTTAGAAAGATCAGGATCAAATGTGTTAAAAAGATCAGGATCAAAAGTTATTCATACTGACTACTGCAGTCAAAGGTAATTTATCAGTAACTCACTTGCTAGCCTGACCTGTTAGTATTTTGATATATATTGAAGGGAAATTCAGATAAACTATGTTGCCTGATACATGTACAGCATCATGTGCCATCTTCTTACAAATGAAACTGAATCAAGAGAACAACCAAAGCTGCAGGGCATATTTTCCCTTTTTTTAGCAGGGGCTGCAAAAGGACTGCTTTCCCCAAAAAATAAATACACTTTTCCTCCTAAAATTCATTTTCAACAATAGTTTTTTCTCCCACTTATGCAAACAATGTGATATTTCCTCCAAAATTTTAAGGAAATGTCCCTTCCCCTGCCCGTAAGAGAACTGTTGGCTAAATTTACCATTATTGAGAAGAAAACCCATATGTGACATAAAGTAATAACATCATACAACAAACATATCTATTAAGTCTTGGCCAACAGTATCAACTGCCAATTTCCTCACAAGGTTGACACTTAATCCGCTACAACTTACAAAATACTAGTATTACTACTCAACCTTATTATTTTTCATGCATAACATTAATAATTTATATGACTATAATACATCTGTATGTATGACACAGCTTCTGTGTGTATAGATATTAAACAATAGATCTGCACAAGTAAGGGAGGGCGCTTGTAATTAAATCAAAACAAAATACAGGAAGTGAGTACCAGCGCCTTAAGTGTCCACTTAACAGCCACACTCGTTTTCTTTATATATCAACAAGGATTATTTTCGGAATTTAACATGTTTACATAACTAAATTGAATTAATTTATAATTCTTAAAGCTTAAAAGATGAGTTTTCAGACATGTTTTCAAGTTACTGTGAAATCATTTGTATTCGTGGGCATGAAATTTCGTGGTTTTATCAAAACAGGCATTTTCGTTGGTTCTTAAATTCGTGGATTTTCATTTTCTTGTAAAAAAAAAAATAAGTAATGGAAAGTAATCTTTCACTTAATCACTGCGCTGTTTTACTTACCCCGTGTATATAACACAGCTCTTGTCAATAAATTTAATCCTGGCCTCTGGCAGTAACACAATTACTGCCGATAATTGACTGCAATTAACACCTTTGTGTGACAAGATATGCAGCTCCATTATATGCCCCTATAATTCGCCAATGTAAACATCGTATAAATTATACGACATCTGCCAATTTTCAACCAGCCAGTAAAAAGGTTAACACCCCGAATCAGTCCAAAACTACACACTACATCACATCGACTGTGTAAATTTATATGCATATAAATTAATACCAGTAAATGGCTCAATACAGTTACATACATGTATGTGTGCATCTAGTGTAAAGACGACGGCTTCTTTGATATTTTCGGAATAGCATACATATTGAAAAAATATATTTAAATGGATCATATAAACACTAGTCGTTAAAAGTTTTATCGGGGATAATTAATGCACTTGGTTCCCATATTTACTCGATTATGTCACGTATTCTGGCTAACACAATCAAGTAGCCTACAACGATCAAGTAGTCCCCTGATGTTTACATGCGACGAACATTTGTGACCGCAAACTAAAGACATACAATGGATTTTTCTTTCAAGTTTCTTAAATATTGCAAAATTAAACTATTTATGGATTTAATTTGTCACTGACCTGATTATAATATACATTCATACCACAAATATCGGCCGGAAAAGCGCCGATGCATGTTGTGATATATGGAACAGAGTGATGGTAAGAAGCGTTTGTTGGGATAAAATTTCGTCGGGTCTTAAATTCGTGGATTGACCTATCCACGAAAACCACGAAAATTCGTGCCCCACGAATAATAATGATTTCACAGTACTTCCTTGTATGAATCATAAAAATACTGTTAATTATGATTTTATCCTCATGTTTGGACTCATGATGTTAGAATATCAACAAAATTAATTAAAACTAAACAAAAGCTTCCTAGGAGTGCTTGGATACCATGCCATTTAGATATATCTGTTTGTATTCTTCATATGATGCTCCTCGAAAATTTCACATTTACGTGTATTTTCCTTTCATTTTAATTTACTATAAGTATGTATATACTTAATAGCAATTAAAGTTTGAACTGAATTTTACATTTCAAAGGTTCAGTTGTTGACTTCAAACCACTTGTGCCTCACCCCCCTAGGGTTCAAACCCCATCAGGCATTGGATCTTTCATGTGAGGAAGCAATCATCTAGCTTAGGCCACTTCTTTTATATTTCTTGGTTTACAAAACCGGCGACCCGAAATATTTGTAAATTGGAAAAAAAATAAAACTGAAATTTCCACTTTTTTTCCCCCGATGCAAAAAAAATTATCCGATAAGCGCGATAAATATGAGTACGAAAATTCGAATATTTTTGAGTACGAATCTATATAACACAACATTCGGACTACCTCGGATAACTACCACAGTTCATGGTAAAACAACAATGGCGGCGCCCTTGAGCGGCACTGTTTATTTCCAAGTTGATTTTGTTGGAATAAAAGATTTGCCAACCAGACGGGCTTTTTTAAAGGCTGCCGTTGATGAGGACATCGGCACGGCTATCAGCCGTATCCTTCCTCGAGAAGATTTAATGGTTTGATTTACGATATATTTGCCAGTATATTGTTAAATTGTATTTTTCTTTTCGTCGAAATGCTCAGCCGGGACCGGATTGCCAGGATTGTATTACAGCTGGCAAAACTCCCATAACCAGAAATCAGTTGAAAGTGAATGCCAAGAAAAAATGAGACAATACAGATATAAATGTTTATATTTTTATTTTCTAAAGATGGCAGATATTTTTGGTACATTTGTATCAAGAAAGTTAACATGAAAGCTATACTAAGGAAAAACAACAATAAAAAGATGTTTAAATTACTGTTTTTGCTTATGTCAATAGAAGAATGACACTATTTTTGACAAAATAGTGTTTTATGTGCACCATACAAGATTTTTTTTTTTTTTTACAATATACCCGATGGACCTTTTTGAGGTTTTTTTTTTTTTTTTTTTTTTTTTTGGCCCACCCAGTGGCCATTTTTGAAAAAAAATTTTGTAAACCAAGAAAAAAAAAAGAAGTGGCCTTATGGAACATCGCTGGTTCTACTGAAGTGCCTGTTTGTGCCTGAAATAATGCATGGAGGGGCACCTATGGCCTTCCTCTAATTAGTAAAGATGAAAAGTGCTTATGGTGACCAATTGGGACTTAATTGGGAAGAGGCCGTAGCCTCTTGATTTTGGGAAAAATTATCACTGCAATTAATAATTTGGAAAGTAAAAAAGCTGGCGTAAGTACAGATTTTTGGGAAATATACATTACTTCCATCACAGACGGGTGCTTCAGTAAACTTGCAGACACTTAACAGTATAGATTGACAACTTCCTCACTTTAAACAAGTCAATGTCTTTAGCTGGGTTCAAACCCGCAGCAGTCTGAGTAATAAGTTATCCCACCATGAAAATCAAACGCTTGTCTAACATGAATGATTTTACAGTATACATTTATAACTGTGTTGTACATCATTGTACTTTCATGTTGTTGTTGTTTTAACAAGTAATATCACAGTCAATCTTTTGGCACACTAAAATAACAGCTGAGAAAACTACCCAATGAATCCTGCATCAAT